ATATATATATATATATATATATATATATATATATATATATATATATATATATATATATATATATCGGAGAGCTCACATATAATATCTAATCATATAGTGGTTTGTTCAATCGTCTTTAAGATAAATATATAGCTCAGCAAAAGCTCTAACATTAAAATTTAAAAAAGTGTGTCAACTTGCGTCGATTTTGTCTATAGTTATCAAATGTTTAAATTGAAATGCACTCACCCCGCTTTCATTCCTCGCTAAGGTCAATTGGCCGTTGAGTCTGCTTCCCTCGGACAAGCCACAATATTTTTCCAATTCACGCCTGGTTAAATTGAACAGTTCTGTACCGTTCATGTTTTCAAACTGCTTGCAAATTCTGTAAATAAAAATACATTAGACGATCAATTATAGTGTCTTTTCATCGTTCTCTCTCATTATATCGCGACAATGTGAATGTAACATACTTCTCTGAGAATCCTTTGGCTGCTAACCAAGCTTGGACATCTTGCGGAGTCGAGTGCTGATTCAGCCAAATCTCCTGCTGCGTGTTGTCACTAGGCGGGTTCGCTTTCTTTTCCCGGAACATTGTTAGAACAAACTTGAGCTCCTCGTGAACCTGCTTTAAACTGCTAACGTCTGTCGAAAGCAACGTGTACGGTAAAATATGTTAGTATGCTTCATGTATGCTTTAACATTATAACTAGAGTTATTTATACGATTTTCAATCGTTTATATACGCGCGATTAGAAATCATAGGAAATCCTAGTAAATAAGTGTCAGAACATATGAGATGCTCGATGCAATATTCATCATTAGAATTCGAATCAATATTTATCATTGGATAATTTACTGTTTTTGCTGCTTGTGGACGTAATTGACGTCGTGGATTTCTGAGTTTGAAGAGGCGGCGGGGCAGAAGTCAGTGGGGTCGACGGAGGCGGCGGAGGCGGCGGGGGCGGCGAAGTTGGTACCGTTGATGGAGTCGATGCTAATGCGGGTGCAGGTAGTGCCAGGGTTACTGGAGGTGCAGGCAACGCTGGCACGGGTAACGCCGGTGCTGACGGCAATGTCTGTGGAGGGAGCGGTGCAGATGGCTTTTCGACTATCACATCCGAAGTGATGTTACGGGGTGGCGGGTGCACTTCCACAATGCTTTGAGACGTGTTGAGGTTTCTGTTGGGCATTTGGGCGCTTTCGACGGAGGAAGCGCCGTTAACAACTGCTGCGGTTTCATTGTACACGACGACTTCATCTGCAAAGTAACATCATGATTAACACGAGTTTAAGCGAGTCTGATTGAATTCAAAATTTATCGCACGACTATGTCTCGACTCGACATGCATGCCGTCGATAAGCTAGCTAAAGCTATATTGAAGAAGAAGACATGGGAAGGCTATAACTTACCCCGAAGCTTTCGCGCATGGAAGACGCACACAGTCTTAAATACACTGGACGAACACACACGAAGCATATATAGTTCAAGCGCCACGCGATCGTGCTTACAAAATAATTCTACAGCTTGTTTCCAGACTTAATTCTACCAACACAGTGAACGAAGATAAAATCAGTAAAATCCACATTTGTCAGATACGAATGCTACGTTTGCTGAGACGCGTTGTAGATTATTTGGTTCACTGCACCAAACAAAAGATGCTTTCATTTAAAAAGCATTAGATTGATATATAATTCTTTGTAACAATATCATTACGATCCACAGGAGACAGGAAGTATGAAGGGGACCACGATGGTGACGACGACGACGGTGCCTTCTCACACAAGTACAATCTGTAACTGCGTATATTTATTAATAATACGTGATGTACATAAATTACAGTGTAATCAAATACTGAACGGATCTTGCATCCCCGTTTCGTGAAACATGCATAGATATTGGCTGATATTCCGATCGATCGTGAAAAGAAAAGGTAGACACGCGACATTTGCATCGATACATAGCAGAACTTACTTAAGAAAAAAAATCTACATCACGATTTTAAATTGTTGTGAGAATTTTTATGCTGTCGAAAGAGCGTTTGTCAACGCGATTACTGTAGTCGTAATTAGTAGTATGTAGTCATATGTAGTAGCAATAAATAAAAGAGCGCGCATCTGAGATAGAGAAATCAATCAAAGAAGCTTGCGCTATTTGATACTTCGTAATCATTAAAGATTGCTCCTTGACTTCTTATTGCCGACTAGTCAATGGACACGACACGAGTGAAGTTTCGAAGCCCGAGGAGCTTTTAAAGATGGTTCAGGATATATGAAAATTGCACGAGCGCACGTCCTCGCGTTTTCCGCGCGCTCTATCTTATCTATGCGTACAACACTCGTCAACAATAACTGATAACGATAGTACAGATTCGATCGGGTCGAGCTTTTGCAGTAAGATTTATGTAAATCATACGGAGGGGATGATCCGATCACGGGGTAACCGCTTCCTTCGTTCGTCATCGACGAGACGCATAGATATTCGGTATTCATCCACTTTGTCGATCTGTGGTTCCGTTCGCATTTTCTTGCCTTAACATTTCCTTTAATCGTTTGTACAAGCTTATTTACACTGACACATACAGATGCATGCGACGACGAGACACGTACAAGCGGGATCGGGGAGAAGATTCGTTGCGTCGATAAAAGCTATTGATAAGACGAGGAGCAAACAATAGAAAAAGCACAATCGTGATGACATTCCTTCTTTCTTCATACGCGAAATCTCTCTCTTTTCTCTCTTTTCTCTCTTTTTCTCCCTCCCTCTCCCCGTGAGATTCTTATCAAGAGCCTTTATCAAGTTCAAGGAGCTCTCTTCACAGTGAAGCCCCATAAAAGAACCAAAGGACAAGCACAGCGACTTCGCCATAATCTCAAATGTAAAGATGCCCGGAGATACGGTACAGAACTTATCGCGCGGTCCCGACACTACTATCTTT